GCATTGCATGCATTCTGTTTTTTATGTGTTTTTGCCACGTTTGCTTTGCATTCTTCCCTGGACATGTGACTGGAAAAAGTATTTCCCACAGCTATGTTGTGTTGTTGATGCCTTTTTTATGCTCTTTTGCCACTGTTTCTATTCATTTCAATGGAGAGTTGCATTTTTGGTGTGGTTTTTTTTACCGCACAAGAAATGCAGCAAGCAGAACCTTTGTGTTTGGGTTGGATGAAGGTGGATCAGTCAGGATCTCCGAATCATAACATAATTAATGAATCTGAAATGAACTTCCTTTTATTTGTTATGTTATGATTCAGAGATTCTGATGAAGCCACCTCCATCCAACCCAAACAGAGTGCATAAATATTATCTCCTGAAACAACATGTTAACACTAGAGATGAGCGAATCGAACATGGCGAAGTGGAATTCGTTTCGAAGATCAGAAAAAATTCGATTTGCGCCGAATCCGAAAATTAGCAAACTTCGGATGCACGAATCGAATTTTCCCAAAAATGGCGGCGACATGTGTGGCGACGGAGCGGGGATATCTGGGAAGGCGCGCAGACAAGGCGCGCTGACCCATAATGCATTCATTCATGACATGTGATCGCATTAGCCAATCAGCAGCCAGCCAGCCAGCACTGTGTAATGGTGGAGCTATAAATTGCGGCCATCTTAGAATTCTCCATTAGCCTCCGGTCATTCAAGAGAGACAGACCTCTGTGTATTAGGGACAGAGTTAGGGCCAAAGAGACTTTAGGGCCACAGAATCGTTACTTAGGGACACAGAATCGTTACTTAGGGACACAGAATCGTTACTCAGGGACACAGAATTGTTACTCAGGGACACAATCGTTACTCAGGGACAGACACAGAATTGTTACTCAGGGACACAGAATTGTTACTGAGGGACACAGAATCGTTACTCAGGAACACAGAATTGTTACTCAGGGACACAGAATCGTTACTCAGGGACACAGAATTGTTACTCAGGGAAACAGAATTGTTACTCAGGGACAGAAACAGAATTGTTACTCATGGACACAGAATTGTTACTCAGGGACACAGAATTGTTACTGAGGGACACAGAATCGTTACTGAGGGACACAGAATTGTTACTCAGGGACACAGAATTGTTACTGAGGGACACAGAATTCTTACTCAGGGACAGACACAGAATTGTTACTCAGGGACACAGAATTGTTACTCAGGACACAGAATTGTTACTGAGGGACACAGAATCGTTTACTGAGGGACACAGAATTGTTACTCAGGGACACAGAATTGTTACTCAGGGACAGACACAGAATTGTTACTCAGGGACACAGAATTGTTACTCAGGGACACAGAATTGTTACTGAGGGACACAGAATCGTTACTCTGAGGGACACAGAATTGTTACTCAGGGACACAGAATTGTTACTGAGGGACACAGAATTGTTACTGAGGGACACAGAATTGTTACTCAGGGACAGACACAGAATTGTTACTCAGGGACACAGAATTGTTACTCAGGGACACAGAATTGTTACTGAGGGACACAGAATCGTTACTCAGGGACACAGAATTGTTACTCAGGGACACAGAATTGTTACTCAGGGACACAGAATCGTTACTGAGGGACACAGAATCGTTACTCAGGGACACAGAATTGTTACTCAGGGACACAGAATCGTTACTCAGGGACACAGAATCGTTACTCAGGGACACAGAATTGTTACTGAGGGACACAGAATCGTTACTGAGGGACACAGAATTGTTACTCAGGGACAGACACAGAATTGTTACTCAGGGACAGACACAGAATTGTTACTCAGGGACACAGAATTGTTACTGAGGGACACAGAATCGTTACTCAGGGACACAGAATTGTTACTGAGGGACACAGAATCGTTACTCAGGGACACAGAATTGTTACTCAGGGACACAGAATCGTTACTGAGGGACACAGAATCGTTACTCAGGGACACAGAATTGTTACTCAGGGACAGGGACACAGAATTGTTACTCAGGGACACAGAATTGTTACTCAGGGACACAGAATTGTTACTGAGGGACACAGAATCGTTACTGAGGGACACAGAATTGTTACTCAGGGACACAGAATTGTTACTGAGGGACACAGAATTGTTACTGAGGGACACAGAATTGTTACTCAGGGACACAGAATTGTTACTCAGGGACAGACACAGAATTGTTACTCAGGGACACAGAATTGTTACTCAGGGACACAGAATTGTTACTGAGGGACACAGAATCGTTACTCAGGGACACAGAATTGTTACTCAGGGACACAGAATTGTTACTCAGGGACACAGAATCGTTACTGAGGGACACAGAATCGTTACTCAGGGACACAGAATTGTTACTCAGGGACACAGAATCGTTACTCAGGGACACAGAATTGTTACTGAGGGACACAGAATCGTTACTGAGGGACACAGAATTGTTACTCAGGGACACAGAATTGTTACTCAGGGACAGACACAGAATTGTTACTCAGGGACAGACACAGAATTGTTACTCAGGGACACAGAATTGTTACTGAGGGACACAGAATCGTTACTCAGGGACACAGAATTGTTACTCAGGGACACAGAATTGTTACTCAGGGACAGACACAGAATTGTTACTCAGGGACACAGAATTGTTACTCAGGGACACAGAATCGTTACTGAGGGACACAGAATCGTTACTGAGGGACACAGAATTGTTACTCAGGGACAGAGAATTGTTACTGAGAGACACAGAATTGTTACTCAGGGACACAGAATTGTTACTCAGGGACAGACACAGAATTGTTACTCAGGGACACAGAATTGTTACTCAGGGACACAGAATTGTTACTGAGGGACACAGAATCGTTACTCAGGGACACAGAATTGTTACTTAGGGACACAGAATTGTTACTCAGGGACAGACACAGAATTGTTACTCAGGGACACAGAATTGTTACTCAGGGACACAGAATTGTTACTAAGGGACACAGAATCGTTACTCAGGGACACAGAATCGTTACTCAGGGACACAGAATTGTTACTCAGGGACACAGAATTGTTACTGAGGGACACAGAATCGTTACTCAGGGACACAGAATTGTTACTCAGGGACACAGAATCGTTACTCAGGGACACAGAATTGTTACTGAGGGACACAGAATTGTTACTCAGGGACAGACACAGAATTGTTACTCAGGGACACAGAATTGTTACTCAGGGACACAGAATTGTTACTGAGGGACACAGAATCGTTACTGAGGGACACAGAATTGTTACTCAGGGACAGACACAGAATTGTTACTCAGGGACACAGAATCGTTACTGAGGGACACAGAATCGTTACTCAGGGACACAGAATTGTTACTCAGGGACAGACACAGAATTGTTACTCAGGGACAGACACAGAATTGTTACTCAGGGACACAGAATTGTTACTCAGGGACACAGAATTGTTACTGAGGGACACAGAATCCTTTCTGAGGGACACAGAATTGTTACTCAGGGACACAGAATTGTTACTCAGGGACACAGAATTGTTACTCAGGGACACAGAATCGTTACTGAGGGACACAGAATCGTTACTCAGGGACACAGAATTGTTACTCAGGGACACAGAATTGTTACTCGGGGACACAGAATCGTTACTGAGGGACACAGAATCGTTACTGAGGGACACAGAATCGTTACTGAGGGACACACAGAATCGTTACTCAGGGACACAGAATCGTTACTCAGGGACACAGAATTGTTTCTCAGGGACAGACACAGAATTGTTACTCAGGGACACAGAATCGTTACTCAGGGACACAGAATCGTTACTGGGGACACAGAATCGTTACTCAGGGACACAGAATTGTTACTCAGGGACACAGAATTGTTACTCAGGGACACAGAATTGTTACTGAGGGACACAGAATCGTTACTCAGGGACACAGAATTGTTACTCAGGGACACAGAATCGTTACTCAGGGACACAGAATCGTTACTCAGGGACACAGAATCGTTACTCAGGGACACAGAATCGTTACTCAGGGACACAGAAATTGTTACTCAGGGACACAGAATCGTTACTGAGGGACACAGAATCGTTACTGAGGGACACAGAATCGTTACTGAGGGACACAGAATTGTTACTCAGGGACACAGAATCGTTACTCAGGGACACAGAATTGTTACTCAGGGACACAGAATCGTTACTGAGGGACACAGAATCGTTACTGAGGGACACAGAATTGTTACTCAGGGACACAGAATTGTTACACAGAATTGTTACTCAGGGACACAGAATTGTTACTCAGGGACACAGAATCGTTACTCAGGGACACAGAATCGTTGAATTAAAGAGTATGTCAGACAACATGCAGAGGAGTGGCAGAGGAGGCAATGTTTCAGGAGCGAGCAGACGTGGCAGCAGAGGAAGGGGTCGAGGCAGCACTAGTCGCAGCCAGAGGCCAGTGCTCCCGGTGTCATCCAGCGGTCGTGTCTCCACTGACAACCCTGCCGTCATCGATTGGTTGGCTCGGTCGTCTTCCTCTTCCCATGTAACCTCTGACACCTACAGCCAACGGTCGGTGGGTACGTCAGACACAACCGTTAGTTGGCATGGCCCGGGAGCAAGCCCACTGAAATCACGTGTCCTCTACCTGCCCCTGTCCTTTGCTGTTCCCTCACCAAGCGAAGTATCGCATGCTGTGGGCTCAGCCCACTGTACAGTGAGGAAGAGCTAACAGAGGGCGGTCAGGAACGGGGGGAGAGACATCCGCCTCTTCAGCAGCCAGGCGAAGAAGTACTGGCGAGGAGAGTGGCTCGGTAGCCGGTCTAGAGACAGGTCTGTCTCCTGACCCACACGCAGCCGAGGGGGCTAGTAGTGAGGCGGAGACCCTAATTGATGATGATGAGGCTGATCGCACTTGGCAGCCTCGTCGTCATCTGCCAGGCCCGTAATCTGCCATGGGCCCCCGTACCGACTCCTCATGCTGCTGCCAGGCCCGTAATCTGTCATGGGCCCCTGTACCGCCTCCTCATGCTGCTGCCAGGTCCAGAGTGTGTCATGGGTCCCTGTACGGCCTCCCATTGCTGCTGTCTCCATCGCCACACTCTGCCATGTGCCACTTTCAGGTCTCCTCACACTGCTGGTGGGTTCCATTTTGTCATAGGGTGCTGGCAGATTACGGGCCTCCCATTGCTGCTGCCCAGGCCCGTAAATCTGTCATGGGCCCCTGTACCGCCTCCTCATGCTGCTGCCAGGTCCAGAGTGTGTGTGTCATGGGTCCCTGTACGGCCTCCCATTGCTGCTGTCTCCATCGCCACACTCTGCCATGTGCCACTTTCAGGTCTCCTCACACTGCTGGTGGGTTCCATTTTGTCATAGGGTGCTGGCAGATTACGGGCCTCCCATTGCTGCTGCCAGGCCTGTAATCTGCCATGGGCCCCCGTACCGACTCCTCATGCTGCTGCCAGGCCCGTAATCTGTCATGGGCCCCTGTACCGCCTCCTCATGCTGCTGCCAGGTCCAGAGTGTGTCATGGGTCCCTGTACGGCCTCCCATTGCTGCTGTCTCCATCGCCACACTCTGCCATGTGCCACTTTCAGGTCTCCTCACACTGCTTGTGGGTTTCCATTTTGTCATAGGGTGCTGGCAGATTACGGGCCTCCCATTGCTGCTGCCAGGCCCGTAATCTGCCATGGGCCCCCGTACCGACTCCTCATGCTGCTGCCAGGCCCGTAATCTGTCATGGGGGTCCCCTCCCATTGCTGCTACTCCATCGCCTCCTCTGCCATGTGCTTTCAGCTGCCAGGGTCCATTTTGTCATAGGGTGTGGCAGATTACATGGGTCCCAGGCCCGTACGGGGCCTCCCTCATTGCTGCTGCTAATCTGTCATGGGCCCCTGTACCAGCCTCCATCTGCCAGGTCCAGACTCTGGGTCCCTGTACGCCTCCCATTCAGGTCTCCATCACCACACTCTGCCATGTGCCACTTTCAGGTCTCCTCACACTGCTGGTGGGTTCCATTTTGTCATAGGGTGCTGGCAGATTACGGGCCTCCCTTTGCTGCTGCCAGGCCCGTAATCTGCCATGGGCCCCCGTACCGACTCCTCATGCTGCTGCCAGGCCCGTAATCTGTCATGGGCCCCTGTACCACCTCCTCATGCTGCTGCCAGGTCCAGAGTGTGTCATGGGTCCCTGTACGGCCTCCCATTGCTGCTGTCTCCATCGCCACACTCTGCCATGTGCCACTTTCAGGTCTCCTCACACTGCTGGTGGGTTCCATTTTGTCATAGGGTGCTGGCAGATTACGGGCCTCCCATTGCTGCTGCCAGGCCCGTAATCTGTCATGGGCCCCTGTACCGCCTCCTCATGCTGCTGCCAGGTCCAGAGTGTGTCATGGGTCCCTGTACGGCCTCCCATTGCTGCTGTCTCCATCGCCACACTCTGCCATGTGCCACTTTCAGGTCTCCTCACACTGCTGGTGGGTTCCATTTTGTCATAGGGTGCTGGCAGATTACGGGCCTCCCACTGCTGCTGCCAGGCCCGTAATCTGCCGTGGGCCCCCGTACCGACTCCTCATGCTGTGACGTTGCAACAAGGTGGAATTCAACCCTACATATGTTAGACCGCCTTTACGAACAGCGAAAGGCCATCACCGATTTCCTGATGTTACAAGCGGATAAAGGTACTCCCCTGTGTAACGTAGATGTCAGCCATTGGCAGCTCATGCGTGACACCTGCCGCTTGCTCAGGCCCTTTGAGGAGGCACGCTATTCGTGAGTCGGCAGGACTATGGGATAAACGACGTCATTCCTCTGTTGCACGTCCTGGAACAAATGCTGTTAACAATGGCTGGTCAGGGTGCGGTAGACGTGGCGCACAGATCTCAACGCCACATGACCCCTGTGGGGGCAGGACAGGAAGAAGAGGAGGAGGTAGAGGAGGACATTGGTGCTCAGGAATTATTGAGTGAAATGGGTGGTTTTTCCACTCAGCGGACAGGAGTGGAGGAGCAGGAGCATCTGGTAGATGAGGAGGAGACAGAGGACCCAGACGCACCGTGGCAGTATGCTGTGGAGATGGAGGCAGGGAGTCCCTCGCATTCCTTGGCACAAATGGCCCATAGCATGCTCGGTTGCTTGCGTAGCGACAGCCGAATAATAACCATCAGACAGAGGGATGACTTTTGGCTGTCCACCTTGTTGGACCCTCGCTACCGTTCAAAAATGGTGGCCTTTTTCACACCTGCTGAGAGGGAGGCCAAAATAAAGTACTATAAAAACCACCTATGTAGTCAGTTGGTCTCTGCCTTTCTGCGCCAACGTCCATCCTCAGACACTGTGGGCCCTGTGCGCTCGCATTCCGCTGCCATGGCAGCAGGGGAGGGGTGGGGTGGTAGGAGCAGTGGCAGCTCCACCAGCAGCGGCTGCCTCAGTCTGCAGTCGATGATGAGTAGCTTTCTTCACCAGCGCAGTGAGGAAACTACTAACCAGCCGCAGCAGCAGCAGCATCAGGTGGACCTGGAGCAGGACCTCAAACAACAGGCTTGGGCCTACTTGGACAGCACCCTGCCAACCGAGGTAGACAATCCCCTTGACTACTGGGCAACGAAACTTGACCTTTGGCCCCAACTAGCTGAATTTGCCCTTGAAAGGCTGTCATGCCCGGCCAGTAGCGTGGCATCGGAGCGCGTGTTTAGTGCGGCAGGAGGTATTGTAACTGCGCGGAGGACACGACTGTCCACCCAAAGTGTGGAGAGACTCACGTTTGTGAAAATGAATCAGGCGTGGATTAGTCTGGATTTCAAACCACCAGTTCCTGACACAACTGACTAAATCCACCATGAATCATGCCCCAAACATGTTATTATTTTTAACATCGGCCTCTGTATGACCTTCAATTTAAGCTGCTTACGCTTCGCCACTCTGCCATGGGCCCCTGTACCGCCTCCTCTTGCTGCTGCCAGGTCCAGAGTGTGTCATGGGTCCCTGTACGGCCTCCCATTGCTGCTGTCTCCATCGCCACACTCTGCCATGTGCCACTTTCAGGTCTCCTCACACTGCTGGTGGGTTCCATTTTGTCATAGGGTGCTGGCAGATTACAGGCCTCCCATTGCCAGGCCCGTAATCTGTCATGGGCCCCTGTACCGCCTCCTCATGCTGCTGCCAGGTCCAGAGTGTGTCATGGGTCCCTGTACGGCCTCCCATTGCTGCTGTCTCCATCGCCACACTCTGCCATGTGCCACTTTCAGGTCTCCTCACACTGCTGGTGGGTTCCATTTTGTCATAGGGTGCTGGCAGATTACGGGCCTCCCTTTGCTGCTGCCAGGCCCGTAATCTGCCATGGGCCCCCGTACCGACTCCTCATGCTGCTGCTAGGCCCGTAATCTGCCAGCACCCTATGACAAAATGGAACCCACCAGCAGTGTGAGGAGACCTGAAAGTGGCACATGGCAGAGTGTGGCGATGGAGACAGCAGCAATGGGAGGCCGTACAGGGACCCATGACACACTCTGGACCTGGCAGCAGCATGAGGAGGCGGTACAGGGGCCCATGACAGATTACGGGCCTGGCAGCAGCAATGGGAGGCCCGTAATCTGCCAGCACCCTATGACAAAATGGAACCCACCAGCAGTGTGAGGAGACCTGAAAGTGGCACATGGCAGAGTGTGGCGATGGAGACAGCAGCAATGGGAGGCCGTACAGGGACCCATGACACACTCTGGACCTGGCAGCAGCATGAGGAGGCTGTACAAGGGCCCATGACAGATTACGGGCCTGGCAGCAGCATGAGGAGTCGGTACGGGGGCCCATGGCAGATTACGGGCCTGGCAGCAGCAAAGGGAGGCCCGTAATCTGCCAGCACCCTATGACAAAATGGAACCCACCAGCAGTGTGAGGAGACCTGAAAGTGGCACATGGCAGAGTGTGGCGATGGAGACAGCAGCAATGGGAGGCCGTACAGGGACCCATGACACACTCTGGACCTGGCAGCAGCATGAGGAGGCGGTACAGGGGCCCATGACAGATTACGGGCCTGGCAGCAGCATGAGGAGTCGGTACGGGGGCCCATGGCAGATTACGGGCCTGGCAGCAGCAATGGGAGGCCTGTAATCTGCCAGCACCCTATGACAAAATGGAACCCACCAGCAGTGTGAGGAGACCTGAAAGTGGCACATGGCAGAGTGTGGCGATGGAGACAGCAGCAATGGGAGGCCGTACAGGGACCCATGACACACTCTGGACCTGGCAGCAGCATGAGGAGGCGGTACAGGGGCCTATGACAGATTACGGGCCTGGCAGCAGCATGAGGAGTCGGTACGGGGGCCCATGGCATATGTTATATTTTTAGTCTTTTATTCTTGTTGCCAATGAGAATATTGGGGTCAATTCACTAAAGGATTATGCTTGCGATTTGAAGGTCACGATATGAAGAGTCAATTCATCAAAGTAAAATATTGAATGTGAAGTATATACCGCAAAAAACAAACAAAAAAACTTTATTTATCACCTGGCAGTAGGCAATCAGTATTTTAGCAATATACAAAATAACAAGGAGAACTCTGCAATGGCCAATAAGATTGTATGAAATGTTCTCCTCTGAGCTCAGGAATAAAAATAAATTGCAACATTTCAGCAGAGGGAGATTGTTCTATGAATGGAAGCATACTAGAATGTTTTCCGTTTTATACCATTTAAAGAACTATCTTCCTCTGATGCAGTGTTAGCATGTACAAAAAAAAAACTGAAAAAAAACACAAAAACATTGATAAATGTAGGTGATAAATATTGCAAAACAAATATTTAACGCATTTGGTAAATGACGCCGTTTTTTTTTTTGGTGAACTGACTACTTTTGTGGTAAATACCGCATGAGTCATTTTAACTCAAACATTCCAGCGGTATTTATCTCTTAGTGAATGGACCCCAAAGTCTGCTATGTGTTAACATAAAATTAATTTTTAGAGATGTGGACAACGGAAAAATTTGTTTTGTTTCATTTAGGGTTTGTTCGTTAATAATTTAATTTAGTCGTGTTAATTACGCCATAATGATTAGTTTTTGGAAATCGAATGTTCAGATTAGTTTCGTATATTCAGTTCATTTCATATATTCGGTTAGTATATTCATTATTTTCCAATTGATTCAGATTTCGGGAGATGGCTATATTCATCTTAACGTGTTAACTAGAGATGAGCGAATTATTCAAAAATTCGATTCGGCTGATTCGGCAAATTCGCGGAATAAATTTGATTCGATAAACGACGTCATTCCTCTGTTGCACGTCCTGGAACAAATGCTGTTAACAATGGCTGGTCAGGGTGCGGTAGACGTGGCGCACAGATCTCAAACGCCACATGACCCCTGTGGGGGCAGGACAGGAAGAAGAGGAGGAGGTAGAGGAGGACATTGGTGCTCAGGAATTATTGAGTGAAATGGGTGGTTTTTCCACTCAGCGGACAGGAGTGGAGGAGCAGGAGCATCTGGTAGATGAGGAGGAGACAGAGGACCCAGACGCACCGTGGCAGTATGCTGTGGAGATGGAGGCAGGGAGTCCCTCGCATTCCTTGGCACAAATGGCCCATAGCATGCTCGGTTGCTTGCGTAGCGACAGCCGAATAATAACCATCAGACAGAGGGATGACTTTTGGCTGTCCACCTTGTTGGACCCTCGCTACCGTTCAAAAATGGTGGCCTTTTTCACACCTGCTGAGAGGGAGGCCAAAATAAAGTACTATAAAAAACCACCTATGTAGTCAGTTGGTCTCTGCCTTTCTGCGCCAACGTCCATCCTCAGACACTGTGGGCCCTGTGCGCTCGCATTCCGCTGCCATGGCAGCAGGGGAGGGGGTGGGGGTGGTAGGAGCAGTGGCAGCTCCACCAGCAGCGGCTGCCTCAGTCTGCAGTCGATGATGAGTAGCTTTCTTCACCAGCGCAGTGAGGAAACTACTAACCAGCCGCAGCAGCAGCAGCATCAGGTGGACCTGGAGCAGGACCTCAAACAACAGGCTTGGGCCTACTTGGACAGCACCCTGCCAACCGAGGTAGACAATCCCCTTGACTACTGGGCAACGAAACTTGACCTTTGGCCCCAACTAGCTGAATTTGCCCTTGAAAGGCTGTCATGCCCGGCCAGTAGCGTGGCATCGGAGCGCGTGTTTTAGTGCGGCAGGAGGTATTGTAACTGCGCGGAGGACACGACTGTCCACCCAAAGTGTGGAGAGACTCACGTTTGTGAAAATGAATCAGGCGTGGATTAGTCTGGATTTCAAACCACCAGTTCCTGACACAACTGACTAAATCCACCATGAATCATGCCCCAAACATGTTATTATTTTTAACATCGGCCTCTGTATGACCTTCAATTTAAGCTGCTTACGCTTCGCCACTCTGCCATGGGCCCCTGTACCGCCTCCTCTTGCTGCTGCCAGGTCCAGAGTGTGTCATGGGTCCCTGTACGGCCTCCCATTGCTGCTGTCTCCATCGCCACACTCTGCCATGTGCCACTTTCAGGTCTCCTCACACTGCTGGTGGGTTCCATTTTGTCATAGGGTGCTGGCAGATTACAGGCCTCCCATTGCTGCTGCCAGGCCCGTAATCTGCCATGGGCCCCCGTACCGACTCCTCATGCTGCTGCCAGGCCCGTAATCTGTCATGGGCCCCTGTACCGCCTCCTCATGCTGCTGCCAGGTCCAGAGTGTGTCATGGGTCCCTGTACGGCCTTCCATTGCTGCTGTCTCCATCGCCACACTCTGCCATGTGCCACTTTCAGGTCTCCTCACACTGCTGGTGGGTTCCATTTTGTCATAGGGTGCTGGCAGATTACGGGCCTCCCATTGCTGCTGCCAGGCCCGTAATCTGCCATGGGCCCCCGTACCGACTCCTCATGCTGCTGCCAGGCCCATAATCTGTCATGGGCCCCTGTACCGCCTCCTCATGCTGCTGCCAGGTCCAGAGTGTGTCATGGGTCCCTGTACGGCCTCCCATTGCTGCTTTCTCCATCGCCACACTCTGCCATGTGCCACTTTCAGGTCTCCTCACACTGCTGGTGGGTTCCATTTTGTCATAGGGTGCTGGCAGATTACAGGCCTCCCATTGCTGCTGCCAGGCCCATAATCTGCCATGGCCCCCGTACCGACTCCTCATGCTGCTGCCAGGCCCGTAATCTGTCATGGGCCCCTGTACCGCCTCCTCATGCTGCTGCCAGGTCCAGAGTGTGTCATGGGTCCCTGTACGGCCTCCCATTGCTGCTGTCTCCATCGCCACACTCTGCCATGTGCCACTTTCAGGTCTCCTCACACTGCTGGTGGGTTCCATTTTGTCATAGGGTGCTGTATGGCCTCCCATTGCTGCTGCCAGGCCCGTAATCTGCCATGGGCCCCCGTACCGACTCCTCATGCTGCTGCCAGGCCCGTAATCTGTCATGGGCCCTTGTACAGCCTCCTCATGCTGCTGCCAGGTCCAGAGTGTGTCATGGGTCCCTGTACGGCCTCCCATTGCTGCTGTCTCCATCGCCACACTCTGCCATGTGCCACTTTCAGGTCTCCTCACACTGCTGGTGGGTTCCATTTTTTCATAGGGTGCTGTATGGCCTCCCATTGCTGCTGCCTCCACCGCCACACTGTGGCTCCACACTCTGGTTTTGGCCCCGTGACTGCCCAAATGAGTGAAGTGTGCGGTGATTCTAAGATCGACGGCACTCATCTGCATGTCATACTGACTGACAGTATTATTTCTCTTCCCCAGCAGACTCCAAGGGCATTTAAATTAAAGGTACAGTGTTCTGCACTAATATAAAGGCTCTCTGAAGCCTAGAAACACCCTTTTTATATGTTAAATTCGCAGCGAATATATTCGACTCGAATCAAATTTATTCCGCGAATTTGCCGAATCAGCCGAATCGAATTTTTGAATAATTCGCTCATCTCTAGTTAACACGTTAAGATGAATATAGCCATCTCCCGAAATCTGAATCAATTGGAAAATAATGAATATACTAACCGAATATATGAAATGAACTGAATATACGAAACTAATCTGAACATTCGATTTCCAAAAACTAATCATTATGGCGTAATTAACACGACTAAATTAAATTATTAACGAACAAACCCTAAATGAAACAAAACAAATTTTTCCGTTGTCCACATCTCTAAAAATTAATTTTATGTTAACACATAGCAGACTTTGGGGTCCATTCACTAAGAGATAAATACCGCTGGAATGTTTGAGTTAAAATGACTCATGCGGTATTTACCACAAAAGTAGTCAGTTCACCAAAAAAAAAAACGGCGTCATTTACCAAATGCGTTAAATATTTGTTTTGCAATATTTATCACCTACATTTATCAATGTTTTTGTGTTTTTTTCAGTTTTTTTTTTTTGTACATGCTAACACTGCATCAGAGGAAGATAGTTCTTTAAATGGTATAAAACGGAAAACATTCTAGTATGCTTCCATTCATAGAACAATCTCCCTCTGCTGAAATGTTGCAATTTATTTTTATTCCTGAGCTCAGAGGAGAACATTTCATACAATCTTATTGGCCATTGCAGAGTTCTCCTTGTTATTTTGTATATTGCTAAAATACTGATTGCCTACTGCCAGGTGATAAATAAAGTTTTTTTGTTTGTTTTTTGCGGTATATACTTCACATTCAATATTTTACTTTGATGAATTGACTCTTCATATCGTGACCTTCAAATCGCAAGCATAATCCTTTAGTGAATTGACCCCAATATTCTCATTGGCAACAAGAATAAAAGACTAAAAATATAACTAAAGTGGTTTACTTCCAGTGTTTGAAAAAGTCATGAAGATAAGAGAAAAAATTGCATTTTAAAATATACGAAGGGACATTTAATCACAGGAGAGTTGCAAAGATACATAAGGTGTAATGATTGACAAAACATCAGAATTAAAGGGAAGCTGCTAAAGAAAGTAAACTGAATTCCTTAAAAAACACTTGTAGGTATAAAAAAGAAAGGATGTTATTATGTAGGTCTCCTGAAAACAGAAACTATGCAGGTATAAAAGGCACCCAACAAAGCAGAAATCCAGTCAGAAATAAAAATAAAAAAAAAAGAAGAATACAAATAAAAAGCCAATTAAAAGATAAAATATAACTAGTTTTTGCTAAAATATCTGAAGATTTCCCCCACAGCACTTTTTATCTGCCACTAGATGTCCTTCATCTGATGGCCAGTATCATTAAACTCACTTCCTCTGAGCCCAGGTTGACCTGGAACCACCCCAGAATATGATTGGACAGAGAAAGGAGAAGCAGCACAGTACTGAGCTCATCTCTCTCACACTCTCCTTGCTCTTTCT